ATGGTTTCCGCCTTCCTACCTCAATTCACCAAGAACTGTGTCAGATTCTCCTAGGTTTGGACTACGAGGACCAGAATACTGCTGCTAGAATAATATGCCAATGTTAGGATTGATAGTTCTAGTAAGCATACCTACTAAAACCGGTAAATAGTATGCTGCACGTTGGAAATTGGAGGCAAGTTGGCAGTCACAACTAACATTTGCCGTTTATCAGGCTAACTTTAGCAAACTACAGTGTCTAGCTTGCGATGGACACCACATAACGGTAGGGTGCAGTCTTTCCTCATGATTTGGGCGATCGGGGACAACCAAGGGGAATTTAGACGGCGCAATAATCTTTTGATCGAGCACAACATATATAATCAATTTTTGCTGTATCTGGTAGCAGATTTCTCATCTGTATGAAACAAGTTTCAATGAGTGCGGCTAGGTCGACAGGCTCAGTAGGGCTTCTTTTGCGACCCGCCCCCATCTTCACTGTAAGGAGAGACGGAGATACAGGCAGATTTTCGTCGGGGTTCGCCTTCATTACGGCAGCTTTGCGGCTCTCACGGCCTCACCCAATATCCAACCTATCGCACGCAACAGGTGATTGTCTGAGCAACACACACGACCGTTTGGCCGTCGACTCCGACAGGATCGTCCACCGTGTGCTTCACAGCACAGCAAGCTAAAGACAGACTGTCCCCTACTGAAATCTCCGCAGTTGTCTAAAAAAATGCGTTGCAACGTTTAAGACAGTAATGAAGTTGGAGAAACAGGACGCAAATTGCACACCCACCTGCAAGAACACAAAGCGGCGGCTTGCCACACATATCGGAGAGACCGGCCACGACTTCGATAATCAGGGAACGACCATCGTAAGCCAATGAGCCTCAAAAGCTGAGATTAGCGCTTGAGGCATGGTAGTCAGACGCCAATTCTGTCAACAGGCATCTGAACCTCCCTGCGGCCTACAAAGCCCTGCGCCACTACGTAAGTAAAGGACAGGGCACGGTCCAACCGAAGTCAGAATTAGCAGCCGAAGACGGCCCTGTGACGAAACCACGGGAAGAGGGAGCAGGATTACCGGCATCCTCTATCGTGGGGACAGAACAGACCACCAATTGCCGTCACACTAGACCAGACAGCGAACAGAGAAAAATCGATCAGCCCAAGGTCAACATTTACAGCCGCAACTTTAAACTGCTGATCGATAAAAGTCAGTATTCGCTTTGA